GAGGGAAGTCCGGGGTTGAGTTTTGTGGTTGGCAGAAATCCAGGATCCCAAAGCAGCTCACATCCCCGAGACGAAAGCAAGGTTGAGGGCAGAGTCTGGCCCCAGGTTTTGGAGCCAATGAAAGGTCACCACAAAACACACCAAACACCAGAGTAAGGGAAAATGTTTATTGTCAGGTGGGGGAAACCCGACAGGCTGGAGGAGAGGGCAAGAGAGATCAAGAAAGAGAGAGCAGATTTTCTCATTATAGTAGGTAATGCTGAAACCAGTATCTTTTAAACATTTATTTAAAGAAGCCCAGAGTGAACCAACGGCAAAAAAAGATCTTTCTCTCTGTCTCTCTCTCTCTCTCTCTCTCTCTCACTCTCACTGTCCACTCTGCCTGTCAAAAATAATAAAGAATAAAAAACATAAAATAAAGTAAAATAAAAGTGAAAAAAAATAAAGAAGCCCAGAAATTACACGTGTTTCTAGGGCACCACTTAATGGGCAGGCAGCATCCTTTGCGTATGTGCATTCGCACAGATGATCCCCATAGCGTTGGCTGTTTTCATGCTGCTTCTGTGTTATGTTTAAACTTCAAGTGGTCATGGTCATTTGTCATTTCCCTTTTGTCCTCTAGGCTTTGTTTTATTCCTGAAAGCCCTTCTCCAATCGGGAATGCCAGGATCACACTGGTGCTGAGAGTCCTGGGTTTTCAATGTGGGAGGCCTAAGACACATGGTTTCTAGTTGTTTCTCAATGAGTCAGTGAGCCCGTCCTCTAGGTAGCTACATTGGCCTCTAGGACAAGGGAGTTATAGGTAGAGCCAGCTCTGTAATAGGGCATAGTGTTCAGGGTCTGGGCCTGGCTTCTGTAAGTCCCCAAACATCCTCCTTGAAGTCCATTCCTGGTAGGGTTGTCCGTCCAGCCTGATGCCATGATGTGTACTCTCTCCATGGTGAACTGAGAGCACAGTGTGAGGGAATGTTCTTAGAGGTCAGCTGCTGCCAGACCCATTGGTTGAGATTCTAAGCTCTGACTCTAAGCAGTTGAGATTCTAAGCTCTGACTTAACTAAAAGATGGGTTTTCCTTCTTGTGGACATCTTTGGAAAGAGCGTTCAGCTCCCTAATGGGCTACCTGTTGCCATAGGTAGTTCAGTGACATGTCCCTGGTGATTGGTGTTGCCATGGACCATGGACATGGCAGTGAAGGGATTTCCTGGGTGTGTATGCCCTCAATATTGCCAATGCTGGAGGGGAGGGCCAAATGGCCTTTAGACAAAGGAAGTGAATGTGTGGTTGTGTGTGCTTTGCTGTGTATCTAACTTATTTGTACATGTACACTTTCTTGTTATACTCTCATGCATGTGGGATCAGATATTTTTCTATTTTATTTATTCCTGTGATGTACATGTTTGTATATATTTGTGTTTGTATACATTTGTAGAAATAATGATGTTAATGCATTCTTTTCTCCTAGGGAGTTGAAGCATCCTGGTTGCAAGAATACAGGTAAAGGAACCATTTTCTGTATGTTTATAGAGTGGTACAAGTAGTCAGACAGTTAATTATATATCTTTAAGAGTTTGTTCAATGTTTATGTACATTTTCATAAGTGTATCCAGGCCAGGATTTCTATAAGAGCACTATTTTAGCTATGAATACCATACAGAACAGAACCTGCCAATCATGGGCCAGAAATGTGCAACCCTGCCTGGGTTGAGGTCATAGGAGCCCTTGGCTGACCATCGCCTTTCCTGTACGAGAGTGTGGGGGCCATAAACATCCAAGGAGACCCTCAGAAGTCCCACGTTATCCTCAGGGCACTCTCACGTGGAAGACTTGTGCCACCAGCCTTATGTCACCAGAACTCAGGTCTTCATGGACTACCTCCAAGTCAGCCTCAGAACATAGCTCTCTGTGTGAGGAAATTCTCCACAGAGAGGGCTAGCTTCAGTTCTGTTGGCATCTGAATTGCTCAGACTCGTGGCTGATTCAAAGGATATGTTTTTCTTTTGATGGAAAGAGTGGCCATCTTTCTACCAAGATTCAGATCCATGTTGTCATGGCTGTTTTGGTAGAAAGGCCCTGGTGATTGGTGTGTACTAAGGGGCCCTGGAATGGGCAGTGAAGGGCCTCCAGGTGTGTTATACCCCAAGCTTGCCAGTGAGACGTGGAGGGCCCAATGCCTGGACAATTAGATTATATAGACTATACGTGTGTCTATGTGTCTATGTGTGTCAGATTGTGTGTGCTCCCCAGTGTTGTGTGTGTAGTTATTTGTATACGTACAGTGTCTTGTTATAGAATCATGGATTTAATACTCATGGATTTATTTCTCTGTTACTTACTTTGAAAATATATATGTTGCATGTATTTTTGAGTATATACAGCTCTAGAAATAATGGCCATAGTACATTCCTCCCTTCTGCAGTGTCAGATTATCCCATATAGCTCCACAGTTAAAGGAACCACTGTCTGTTCTGTAGACCAATAGGAGTACATACACAGTTATGTACACTTCCTCCGCAGTTTGTTCGGTACATGCACACATTTACAGATGTGTGTGTAATGTGTATTTGTCTAAGAGTTTTAACTTTTCTTGTGGATACGATATGGGTTTCCACCTGTCAATGTAGAAGCAAGGGACTTCTGGAAAGATTAATGGCCTGGGGACTGGGGATGACCCATGGCCTTGCTCCTGTCTTCCTGCTATGTCCATGGGCAACATATATGTGCACACACGTCTAACAGTTTTTCTAAGTGTCTTGGCCTATAATTAGTGGGCCCTAAAATAGACAGTCTCCTTATGCATCCACCTTGGCTTTCAGACCAGACATCCAGCCTGTGACCTGGTGAGGGGTATCTTTCACATGGGGGGTGTTGTCTGTAAAGGGTGTTGTCAGCCATGGGTCCTGAGCGCCTCAGGTGTGGGAGGCGTACAGCATGTGGACTCCAGGTGTTTCCAAGAGAGTCAGTGAGCTGGCCCTGCAGTTCTCCTGGGTAGTATCTCTAGGACATGCTGCTTTGGCCAGAGCTGGCTTTCCCAGAGTGTGTAGCCTTCAGGCCTGTGCCATTTCCTGGTCTCTTTGAAGTCCCCAAACAACCCCATTTTGGTTGCACTGTGACAAGACCATCCCTCCAGCCTCATGCCATCTGACCTGGTGCCTAGGTTTACTACCTACAAGATAACCTCCCCAGAAACACGGATTAGGGGGAGAGGCCAGGCTTCACCTACCCTTGTTGACCCGGGAGTCTTTAAGTGCCACAATTTTTTCAAAATGTGGGTTTTCTTTCTGGAAAAGAGTGGCCAACAATCCACTGATGCTGAGGTCCCTGGTTTCAGGGCTGATGCACTGACATGTCCGTGGTGATTGGTGTCATCCCATGGTCAATGGAACTATCAGCAAGGGTCTCTGGGTGTTTCTGACCCCCATGCTTTCCAGCACAGAAGAGGAGGGCTCAGTGGCCCCTCTGTGAAGAGCTTGAGTGTGTGTGTCCAATTCTGTATGAGCTCTTTGGGGCTGTGTATATTAGTTTTGTAAGCCCAATGTGTTGTGAACATCAGGTATATGGCTGTTGCAGATTGGTTTCTATCTGTATTTATTTCTATGATACATGTTTTACGTATTTGTGGTGTGCACATTTGTAAATTAAAGGTTGTCCTGACTTCCTCCTTCCTTTGAGAGGGAAGCATCCTGGAAAGAAGGATTCAACTTTACAAGTAAAACACAACTTTCTTTTTTTCTTTTTCTTTTTTTTTTTTTGACAGGCAGAGTGGACAGTGAGAGGGAGAGACAGAGAGAAAGGTCTTCCTTTTGCCATTGGTTCACCCTTCAATGGCCGCTGCGGCTGGCGCGCTGCAGCCGGTGCACCGTGCTGATCCGATGGCAGGAGCCAGGTACTTATCCTGGTCTCCCATGGGGTGCAGGGCCCAAGGACTTGGGCCATCCTCCACTGCACTCCCTGACCACAGCAGAGAGCTGGACTGGAAGAGGGGCAACCGGGACAGAATCCGGCGCCCCAACCGGGACTAGAACCTGCTGTGCCGGGGCCACAAGGTGGAGGATTAGCCTAGTGAGCCGCGGTGCCGGCTACAACTTTCTTTTTTAAAAAAGATTTATTTATTTATTTGAAAGGCAGTTCTAGAGAGAGGAGAGAGGAGAGAGAGAGAGAGAGAGAGAAATCTTATCCGCTGTTTCACTCCCGTGGTGACTGCAACAGCCAGGACTGGGCCAGATAGAAGCCAGGAGCCAGGAGTTTCATCCAGGTCTTCCATGAGGGTATAGGGGCCCAAGCACTTGGGCCATTTTCTGCTGCTTTCCCAGGCACATTAACAGGGAGCTACATCAGAAGTGGAGCAGGGGCTGATGCTGTGGCATAGTGGTTAAAGTCACCTCTTATAGTACCTGCATCCCATATAGGTGCCCATTCAAGACCTGGCTGCTTCACTTCTGATCCAGCTTCCTACTATGGCCTGGGAAAACGGTGGAAGATGGCCCAAGATGGAAGATTCTCTCTCTCTCACTCTCTCTGCCTATGCCTATACCTATGCCTATGCCTATGCCTCTCTGTAACTCTGCCTATCAAATAAATAAATATATAAAAAAAAGTGGAGCAGCTGGGACTTGAACTGGCACCCATATGGGATGCAGGCACCACAGGCAGAAACTTTACCCACTACACCATAGTTAGCCCCCAAATTTTATTTTTCAAAGCATAGAGGTATTTATAAAGTTATGTATGTGTCTTTAAGCATTCATTCAGTACTTTCACACATTTCCTTAAATACATCAAGGGAGGAATGTGTCCAAAAAGGTTACTTTTGCTACATATCCCTTGCAGCACTCAAATTCCCATTAATGAACCAGGAGTCGTCCGGAAATCTCGTTGACATGAGATCCGGGGACTCAAGGCTGATCTAGATGCTCACTCTGTCCCTATCTCCTGATCTTAGATGATGCATAGACAGCTCACATCCCTGTGCCCTCCAACAAGGGAGATAACCCACTCACCAGCAGAAGGTCCTTTATTAGACCCATTCTTGTGCTTCTACCTGTTTTTTTATGCTTTATCCTCAGCCTCTGGTGTGGGGGTTTGTTGTCTCCCACATGTCCCATTCGAATAGCCAGTAAACCAGCCACAGGTCCATAATGCCCCTCCAAGCACATGAGAGGCTTAACAGGAGTGGTTTCCAGGTGTTTCCAGGAAGTTACTTCTCTAGCCTCCTGCTCACTGTGTCTGAAGCTATAGCTCCTGTTCCATCCACTGTTATCCCTTTTAGACTTGCTGCCTCTGAACTATCTGCATCATGCATAAGTGCATCAGGAGACCAGCCCAGTGCCTCCTCTGCATGCCATGCCTATGTTTCTGAAGTCACAGGTGCACACCATGCCATCCATGAATCCTGCCAACCGATGCCTGGACAGTTTGGGGAGAGATCACCTGTGCATGCTTGTAGGGTATCAGAGGCTTGAAGAGCTTGTATGATATTAATCTTGTCTTTTGCTAACAAGCGATGCCATGTGTATGTGTTTGTGTGTTGGGGGGCTGTCGCTCCCCCTCTTCGTGGAGGAGCAACACAAGACCCTGCGCTGTTCTTTCATCTGCTCGGCCCTCCCCGGGTTTGCTGCTGGTTCTTCCCGGGTTGGCTACTATCCCTTCCACCTCCGTGGAAGGGCAGTTCCCCCTGGCCACATTCCCCACTTCCGCAGGGGAGTGGCACTCCGCCGGCCGGCTCTCTGGGGGCTGCACAGGTGTTCCCCTTAGATGTTCCCCATAGATGTTCCTGGTGCATGCCGTCTCTCTCCTCCTTTATAGTCCTCCTCCGCCAATCCCAACTCGGCTGCCCACACGCCGAGTACGCTGCTCTCCAATCAGGAGCAAGTCCTACAATTTATTAGTTGAACTGGAGGCAGCTGTGCGGAAGCTGTTTACTTCTCTCCCAGTGCCATATTGTGGGAGAGCAGATGCATAGAATAAGTCTTAATTCGAGTAACTTAGTCTAGTCCGGATTGCTCCCCACAGATCCCCCTTTCTTTTTTATTTTTGGCGTTGATACGCGCCTGTCTTCGGTGTCCCGCGGCACACACTCTGCTCTACTTGCTAGAGTTGCCACAGGCTCTTACAAGTCCTATCAGGCAAACCGAATCCGGGTCCTCTCTTCGCCATGTTGTGAGGAGGTTTTTAGGCGCTGATGCGTGCCTGTGTTCGGTGCCCTGCAGCGCATGCTCTGCTCTGCCTGCAGGGGACTTACAAGACCTATCAGGCAAACCGAATCCAAGCCTTCTCATTGCCTTATTGTGGGGGAGACTTATTAGTGTTGGTTCGTGCCTATCTTCGGTGACCTGCAGCTCATACTCTGGTCGAGCTGCTTGCTGGCGCTTACCGCCTTAAATCAGGCAGACCGAATCCAAGCTTAATATTGTTGTATTGTGGGGAAGCCTTACTGATGTTAATTCGTGCCTGTCTTCGGTGACCTGCGGCGCATAAGCTGCTAGCTGCCGGCAGGTGCTCATCGCCTCACTTGATTAGGCAGACCGAATCCAAGCTCTCACATTGCAGTGTTGTAGGGAGGCCTTTTTATTTCTCTATTTCTCTATCTCCGGGCATTCCTATTTTCACTTCTATCTTCCCAGCATTCCCATTTCTCTTTTACTTCACTTCCAAACTTCTGTTTCTCTTATCCCCGCAGCTTCCCGGCACCTCGGCCCTGCCGGCAGCTTCACGGCTCCGCGCAGCTTCCCGGCGCCTCGCCCCGCCAGCGGGCTCCGCCCCGAGGCTGCTTCTCCGCGCCTCGCCGGCTCTGAGCCGCTTCAGCCCGCGCCTCATCTGCGCGGCTTCCCGGCTTTGCGCGGTCCGCGGTCTCCACGCTTAACCCTTTCGCGTCTGAACCACGGCCTACGCCAGCCCCGTTCCCTATCTACTCACGCCCCGTGCTCTCTCTGCACGCGGCGGCTTCCGCGAGTAACACAGCGTAGCTTGCGTCTCCACCACTAGGATTCAATCTAAGTTCCCCGGGCTAGTCTGGCGAATTCAACCCAGCGTACGTCTCCGCCTCACGATTTGGCTTCCCGTCCTTTGCTCCCCGGGCTAATCAGACGGATCCCAATCTGGCTTGCGTCTCAGCTTCTAGTTTCAACTTTTCGCCCCCTATTCCCGGGCTAACTTGAGAACCCCAAAGTGGCTTTCGTTTCCGCCTCGGCCTGCCCCCCGCGGCTTCAATTTCCCTAACATTTTTCTCTACCCGGTATGTTTCCCCAAGTTTTCTTCCAACAATATTCCTCCCTCATTTCTCCTGGCCTCTCCCCACAGTCCGCGTCCGAGTCTGTTTGTTCTAGCTTTCCCTTTCGCTTTCGACCTTAGAGATTTCTCCCAGCTTCCCCCCGTAGTCCGTATCCGAGTCTATGCCTAGGCTTTCAATAGCTTCTTCCGGCTCCTTTTTCGTCCGGCTTTTCCCTAGGCTGTTTGCTAGTTTCTCTCTCCGATATTTTCCCTAGTTCTTCCCGTTTCTTCCCTCCTAAGTTTGCTATCCGTCCTAGGTTTCCTATCCAAGCTAGGTTTCCTATCCGAGTCACGGCACCATTATGTCGCTCCCCCTCTTCGTGGAGGAGCAACACAGGACCCTGCGCTGTTCTTTCGTCTGCTCGGCCCTCCCCGGGTTTGCTGCTGGTTCTTCCCGGGTTGGCTACTATCCCTTCCACCTCCGTGGAAGGGCAGTTCCCCCTGGCCGCATTCCCCACTTCCGCAGGGGAGCGGCACACCGCCGGCCGGCTCTCTGGGGGGCTGCACGGGTGTTCCTTCAGCTAGATGTTCCCCATAGATGTTCCCTGGTGCATGCCGTCTCTCTCCTCCTTTATAGTCCTCCTCCGCCAATCCCAACTCGGCTGAGTACGCTGCTCTCCAATCAGGAGCAAGTCCTACAGTTAATTGGTTGAACTGGAGGCAGCTGTGCGGAAGCTGTTTACTTCTCTCCCAGCGCCATATTGTGGGAGAGCAGATGCATAGAATAAGTCCTAATTCGAGTAACTTAGTCCAGTCCGGATTGCTCCCCACATTTATGTTCAGTTATATATCTCGATCCATAAAGTTCAGTGTTGTGGCACAGCAGGTTATCCTGTCACCTGGAATGCCGGTATCCCATATGGCCACCAGTTTATGACCGGCTGCTCCACCTCCCACCCAGCACCTTGCTAATGCACTTGGAAAAGCAGTGGAAGATGGCCCAAGTGCCTGGGCCCCTGCACCCACGTGGGAGATCCAGATGAAGCTCCTGGCTTCTGCCTTTGGCCTGACCCAATCCCAGCTGTTATGGCCATTTGGAGAGTGAACCACCAGTAGATGGAGGATCTCTCTCTCTCTCTCTCTCTCTCTCTCTCTCTCTCTGTGTGTGTGTGTTTCTCTCTCTCTGACTCTGCCTTTCAAATAAATAAATAAATCTTGAAAAAGAAAGATGCAGCTGTGGGCCTGGCTCAGCCATTCCACCAATGGGTGTCCCTGGACAGTGAGCAGTAGGACATCCCCAGGCTCCAGGGAGCCAGAGTTCATTCATGAACTCCTGGTTTGTGAGTATAAGATCATCATTTTATTTTCCAAGCCACCCATCCTATAGTGTGTGTGTGTTCTGGTGTGTGTGTGTGTGTGTGTGTGTGTGTGTGTATAAATCTTTATTTGCTCAGGAATGGATTCATGACATTATATGGATGACAGGTTTTTTTTTTTCTGTACATTAATTTTTATATATCAGCAAAGAAAATTCAAAGAGTACTTTTGCTTAGAGAGTTTATTTCCAAGGTAGTGCATTTAAGGACAACAAGGGCAAATCAGTTAAGGATGATCCTTGGCCATTCTGTGTCAAACACAAGAGATTGTGGTAAGCCAGCTGTTTATGCTTGAACTTGGCAAAACTCATTTCTGCTGGAGTTGTGGACCTAGGTGAACCTGATCTTGCATGTACCTGTTTGATAGTCTAAGGGATTCAAAATGCATAGCATTCACTAACTAAAACTAACTAACTAAAAACATTTTGGTAACTGAAACCAAATTTTTCTGAAATAAGACTGATGTAAAAGTAAAGTGAAAATTACTAATTCTAAACTCAAATGCCACAAATATAAATAAAAAAGCTCCTAAATTTTGTGATTCAAAGAAACCAAAAAACTAAAACTTAATGATCCTATGAATGAAATGGTGACCGATAAAGACAGGCTAACCAGTCACTCAGAGAAAAGAATTTTGTAGACATCATAGAAAGTAACTGCATAATCTCAGAAATTCTGATACTGACTCTTCATAGAAAGGGATTTTATAAATCTAGATTTGCAAAGTTGGGGGCCATTGTTTCCTTATATAACAGGCCTTCCTATGGAGTAGCAATAATCCAGTTAAGCTGAAAAAGGGGTTTTCAGAGGGGAATCTCATATGGAATAATGGTAAATTGCAGAGCCAAGAAATCAGGTGTCATGTTTTTCAGCATTGCACAAAAGCAACTGAGAGAAGCTATGTGAAGTAAGACAAGTCTTTCTGAATCCTATTGCTCATGCAGAATTCCCAAAACCGAATTTTCTATTAAAAGGAACAAAACCAGAATCTTGGTGGCAATATGCCCATCCCCATATAAAAGTACTAGAGGGAGGAATCAGTAATAAAGAGAGAGAAAGTACTCTCTGATACATGAAAACACTTCCATCTTTGTGTAATTTGTGTTCTCGGCGGGGTAGTTTTCAGGATGAGGGAGACATGGTTGAGACAATGATACCAAGCATGGAAGGACATGATACTAAGAATCAGGGAAGCTCAGAAATGAATGGGCAGACTCAGGAAAGAAGGAGGAAAACAGGAAAAACTAACATCACCCGTGAAATGCAAACCAGAAGAAACACAAACAGATCTGTGCCTTTCAGGAAACAGAAGGTGAGAGAGGACATATACAGAATAGGAGCTTGACCAAAGATTTCAGAAGATGAGAGAGGAATACCAGAAGTTGAATACCTGCATGTGTATGAATGAGATTGCTGGAAGAGGAAAAACCAATGCAATGATCTAAAGCTAATAATTATAATTCAGACTGTTTCCGGAAATGACAATATGCTCTCAAACTCCTCCTTCACAGAAAACTGGGTCATACTTTGAGTGAGTGAAGCCATTTATAGTCTAGTAAAATCTGGGAATTATATGAAAAATATTCAGAGATCTAGAATACAGGGATGAGTAACATAGAAGGGAATGAAAATGATCCAGCTGGTCTGGGTTGGGAGGAAAAAGAAGACAATATTTAAGATGCTCAAGAAGAGCCAAGAACTTTGTGCCATCCAAGCTGCCATTAGGTGAAAAATAACATTGGCATCCAAGTCTTTGTGAGAGATCTTGGGTGAGATGAACCCCATGATCCCTTCCAGAGGAAGGAACAGACATGAGACAAAAACCCTAGAAAGTCATTACTGTAA